TTTTCTTTGCCATACAATTTGAAAAAAAAATCGCTCATCATTGCCCACCAACCGCATTCTGTTTTTACCCAATGGTCGGCTGATAAAAAATACTTACCTACTTCCGAGCGCAATTAAGAATAAATAAATAGATAAACATACAGTAACGTGATAAATAAAGACCATATTGCAAGAATAATTAATATTTATAAATAGCACGAATTAGGGTAACGTAATGAGAGCAGGGAAATCTACATAAATACATACACTCGTTTACCTATTGTGTTGAGTGCATGTCAATATTTGGATGTGATCCGATAATTATATAAAAACAAAGCATTAGGTATTTATTATTACTAGTGGTGGTCGAAATTCGACTACAATCAATTTAAGATACAATACGACTATAGGCAAATAATATTAAAGACAAACTATTAATCTATTCTCAATTTGACCACAGACTTTAACAATAAACAAAAAAGTTTATATGCGTGTGTTTTTGTTTCAATTACATGGTAGTGTTTTTATTTCGGACTACTCTAATATTGTATTTTCTCTACCTAAAGGTTGCCTGGAAGAGATTGCTTCTTGCGATAAGACCGCCTTTTGTACTTTTGTTACTTTATATCTCTTTTCTGTATAATTCTTATGTATTAATTCTATTGGTGCAATAAAGAGTTTATAAATAAATAATCAAAATAATGCTGTTAGCCGCAGATGGCCTTTACAGCTTCATCGGGCGATAGGGTACTCGATACTCCAAACCCGCGGTAGAACTTATGGAGAGGCTGAAGGCCAACTCCCGCCTGACGGATATGACTTTAGTCTGGAGGGCACCGCTAGTGGTTCGAACCAAGGATGTTATGGATATAAAATTTCGGATACGGATAGGTTTCGGATATAGGAATGATTATTATACCGGATACGGTTACGGATGCAGATATGAAATTATTTCGGATTATCCGTTAGTTTCGGATAATTTCAGTTACGGATATTATTTTTTAAGGAATTTCAAAAGTAAAATAAAAATAACTAATAAAATGCTTACGGAACGTGTCCCAATTAGGCTCCGTCCCTATCCGATATTATCCGTAACTTTTATTTCGGATTCGATTACGGTTACGGATATTTTTTTATATCGGATATCCGATAGTTTCGGTTACGGTTACGGAGCTCCCTAACATCCCTGGTTCGTACCATGGTTCAGGCCGTCGTAATTTCGATTCAAAATTAAAAAAAAGACTAGCATTCTGCACTCCTTCTCTATATAAACTATAAGTGTGTAAAAATACATACGCCTCTGTCCGCGCAATTTTTGTAATATGTGGTATAAAGTTTTTGCTTCATGTATTGATAAATACTTGATACTTATTGTGTTGGTTGTATGTCAATATTTGCATGTGATCTGATAATTGTATATAACAAAGGATTAGGTATTTATTATTATTAGGACGCGCTGACGTCAACCGTTAGTAGTAATTGTAATGTTTCTTTCTCTATTCATTATTACTGTACCCACACAATTTCATTAAATTATTCAATTTTGAAACGTAGAAATTGAGAAAACACGTGAAACCAAAATAGATATAGTCTTTATACAAATAAACTCAATATAAGCACTTTTTAATAGTCATATTTTTTTATTCTTATGCTCGTTAGGAACTGAGACTCATCACAAGAATGGACAGTGAAATTATAGGGTAATACGGGTATCGTGTAGTCATAAGTCACATTTTCCAATGATTGATAATATTTTTGTTGATTTTTTCTATTGGGGTTATGGGCTATCGTCGGGTGCTGTAACATTGCGACCTGCACAGATCTAGTCGTCATAGTCGTAGAATACTGACGTATTGAGCTCGCCCTTTTTCAAAGTTTGCTACCTACTGAGGGACAACAATTGAAGGATATTCTTAGGAGCGATGGTTTTTATGTCCTCAGGACAGAGTGTATAATTTTATGTTGATACCGTAAGTCTTAAAAGTTAATTTTTCTTAAGAAAACATACATAATAATAAAATAAAAGTTGTAAACTGTGATCAGAACTGTGCTATGACGCGCTAAGTGTAAGTAAATATTTTTGTAGTATATCGCAAATAAACACGTTTGTCATAGTATAAAATGTGTTAATATATTATATTAATATATCATATTATAAAGAGGTTTGTGAATTGGGATGTTTGAAATAACTTCCAATACAGCTGTTATCCTTACTAATATTATGTATAAGTATGAAAGTAGGGATGTTTGTTACGCTTTCACGCAAAAACTACTGAACCGATCGTCATGACAATTCTGTACACATGTTCTTAGAGGCATTAGAATGAACATAGGATACTTTTTATTAAAAAAAACAAATATGTTTGATTCAATGTGAGCGAAGCCGCGGGTAAAAGCTATATAACATCACACTACGTCCAATAGCTGCAGAGTTGCAATGAGAAACGTTGCTAAAAAATCGTGACGCAGACGAAGTTACGCAAATCAGCTAGTCTATGATATATTTTTTTATACCGATGGTGGCAATCAGGCATACCGCCCATCTGATGAAACAGTCGATTGTAGTCTATGTATTATTAAAATCACTAGTCCTGACGACTTAGGCGTGATGCCGGTTGGGCAGGGAGAGAAACCCCTCAATGCCTACAATATTCACAATTACCTATCTGTTATTTGTTTTTATAATATTATAATATAAACACTCCAACTTTTTCGCTCCAAAACTCCCGCTGCCTACGTTCAATCATCCGTCATCCACTTGTCAATGTCACAAAGATTACTTTGGCTCTGGCCTCTGACGTTCCGTTTCAGGTTACATGATTATTGACTTTACCATTTTTATTTAATGGCGCGTCACAGGATAGTTAACAGTATGTATCAGATAACATTGAAATTCCTATATCCTATATTTCTATATTAATAGTGATTGAACTACAACGGCCTCAGTGGTTTAGAGGTTTCGCATACCGCCTTACTTCCGATTTGTATTCATGAGTATGATTGTTTGTACCGGTCTGGGTATTTTCAATATATAATATGTATGTATTTACGAAAAAAAACATATCTACGTATTTGTATCAGTTGTCTAGTACGCATAATATAAGCTTTAGGTAGCTTAATTTGGGTTTAGATGGCGCTGTGTGAATTGTTCTGAGATTATTTATTTATTGTACTCAATCACTCTAAAACTGACAAACTAATTTTTTAAATTAAATTGCAGTCTTCTAAAACACAAAAATAATTCTAAACGCTATAACAGTCTCCTTACAAAATTCCCCTATATTATTGGCATAGAGTTAAAGGTATATTTCCTCAAAGATTCCTTGACGGATACGAGTCGTGCATTCTTATCGAGCGGAACATGTTTTTCTATAAATAAGAGGTATTTAAAACATTCTACAGATAGGTATTAAAGTGATAAATAAACAAATAATTAGTGTACAGATAATAATGAGTGGTAATAATGTGTGGTAAACGGCAGCGGTGTACAAGATGAAATAACTAACCGCGCGTGTAAGGTCAACAAACAAACGCTATCAAGTTACCAACCACGATAACAATAATATACCCTGCTCCGCACCGCTTGTATATCAACATATACAGCATGGCAGCAGGCAGCGCAGCTTTTGTTATAACATGTCCACTATCTATATATCATTACATAGTATAAAACAAAGTCGCTGTCGCTGTCTGTCCGTCCCTATGTGAGCTTAAATCTTTAAAACTACGCAACGGATTTTGAAGCGGTATTTTTTAATAGATAGAGTGATTCAAGAGGAAGGTTTATATGTATAATACATGTACACCCGTGCGAAGCCGGGGTAGCTAGTATAATATTAATAAATAGTGGTCAAAAGCCAAACACAATTAATTTAAATTATAAGTTTAAACATTGTTACTGTTCCAATTCAGCTACTGCTACACTACTTTCCTTTTATATTAGACCAGCAGACCCGACCACGCGTTGTTGTGGCTAAGGTTCTTGAATAATATTGCGACTATAAATTGAGATGTAAGCTATCCTATCTTTAAAGTTGGATCAAATTGCACACAAAGTGCAACTTAAATTTGCAATCGGTTCAGTAGTTTAGGAGTACATCGCGGACAAACAACGTGACACGTAATGTATAATGTGCATAGAAAACACGCAGATCAGCGACCATCGGAATGATGAACGTGAGCTAAACTACTAGACCATCAAGGCCGTCAATGAAACTTATGTACAAGAAAGATATATGAGGAAGCCATTACTTTATCAATATAGCCAATACTTTATTACTTTATCATTACCATAGAATATAAAATAATGATTTTTGGAACTTTGTTTGAGCCCGCAAAATTGTTTCGAAAGAAATATTTGAAAAACAATTTAGAAAGTGAAAACGAATAAATACTGTTACTGAAAGAGGTGATATATACAATTCAAGTCCTTAAGAGCCGGATAAATATGTATTCATATGTTTTTTACGATAAAATGTTTGTTTAATTTTATCTCATTTCTAATAGAACGTTGTACACGACATCCATTGATAACGAAAATTTATTACTAATTTCTAAGTTAAAAATAGGCTCGTTTTAATATCCAAATTATTCGTAATTTGTAAGGTTTATTATAACCTAATATATTTCAATGTTTTTGTTTTATATCACAATAGTGGCAAACAAGCATACAGCCCATTTGCTGGTAAACCGATTAACCAACCTATGAACATCAACGTATTTCCCACCCTTAAGAACCCTTAATATACCCCTATTAAAAAGCCATGCTGTAGTTTCTAAAGAATGTTTGTTACAATAAGATTTCTGAATACAGAATCAATATTAAATTGCTTTAAAATCATGGTTATAATTATAATATATTATTATAATTATCATATTAATATGATGTCATACATCGTGTGTGTATGAAGTGATAGTGTATGTATATGTTAACATCACATTGCATGAACTTAGTGATGACCTCTAGTGTAATGTAAAATTAATGGCGTTTAATTCTAACAAAGAGTGAATGTGCAACTCACTTGGTGAATGTAGCATACATGACGTCGATGGGCACTCGATACGGTAGCGTGAGCACTGGAAGTACAGGAGACAGGAACCGGACTGCCCTCTGTCTCATCACCCAGTTCACTATACCACTGTTGGCCGTGTCTATGGCATTTTGGAATATGGTCATCACAGTGTCAGGTAAGTTGTCCACTAGTGCATCCTGAAACATAATTATTTGTAAAGGAAGGGACTTTTATCGTCGATGATAATGGTGCCAGTGAATGATGATAAGATGAGCATGATCAGGTTAGTCAGCACATCGTGGCAATTAATCAGGTAGGAATTTATCACGATGGTTTCCAGAGGGTACCACGTGGAGATTAACTAGACATTACTAGCAATAGGTCCATTAGTCTACATTATTAACAATCTCCTTCCCTCCAAAGGAAGGAATTATTAGTAATGGGGATATTCAGGATTAGTGACCCTATTTATAATTACGATCCCATAGTTCTTGACGAATTCTCCATTATGAGCTAACTCTTACCTGACTTTATATCATCCTCCACTAGCGCGTATATCATTAGCGCTGGCGGGTCCACATACCATGTTTATTGATTTAAAAAGAAATGTTGTAATTGTTATTTTTAAATAGTAACACTGCCTACTGGATCGAAAGGTCTTCAGCTCAAATATGTCCGAAACAAAAAAATGCCTGTCATTTTATATTTCTAATTCTCTGATGACGAAAAGATCTATAATAATTACTTTGACAATCAAATTACTTCTCCATTCTATCTCTATTTGGAGAAATTACTTCACCATTCTAACTGTATCATGCAGAAATTAAATTCTTGATTCTAGCTCTATTATGGAGAAATCAAATTGACGAATATGTTCCGGACCCGACTGGGATTACTTACTGACCTGTCTGTGCGTCTTGCATTCCTCGCATTCCGGATCATATTCATGGGTGGTGTCGTCCAGGACATCCTGCAGTTGGAAAGTGGACTGCACCGCCAGGCATCTAGTGCACGAGATCATGTTGTTCCTGTGCAGGAATCGGAGGGCGTCGTCGAAGCCCTGTTTGCACATGTTGCTCAGCACCTCGGGCTTCGGTGGGAACAGAATCCGTGCGAATCTGTTGATATTCTGCTTTGACAGCTCAATGCTTGTGTTTGCAAGATTTACCTGTTAGATTGAGATAAAAATTATTATTAGGACTTTAAAAATGGAAATATATGAAAATTAATAAAAAAAAAGTCTTCAAATCTAGATAGTCAAGGTTCAGTTTTGTTGTTTTTGCATATTTTTAAAGTATGATTTCTAAGACGATTATACAGGATCGGTCGGTCTAACGGTTTACCACGTTGTTTTATCTTCAATAGTTGCGGGTTCGTATCCTGGTATGATACAAACATTTGTACTCCCTAAATTGTTGGTATCGTAGTAATGTATTGTAGTTCATAGTTGACGGATTGATATAAGGTGAAATTACAGAGTATCACGGGCGTCACATGATAATGTGATTTCCGTGGTCTGCGTGTCCATGTATATAGACGACGGTTTATTGTCACTTCCGTCCATGCATATAGCCACATTACTATACTAAAAAAAAAACTTATAGATTTTGCTGTAACCTGCGCTGTACATTCAAATTATGCATGCGAAAGAAGTCTCAGGCACGGCTATCTATAAAATTAATATCCCTGTCATAGTTACCTCGTATGCTACTAACAGTAATCTTTTATCTTTGTTGTTTATTGACGATATTACATTTATTACTACTGATTAATAATATCATACAGTACCTACGTATAACATTTACATATCAGTGACACGTCATCATATCATCATAGATACATACAATAAAATCGTGTACGAGTCGTGTCTTTAAACTACATATTAAAAAAAGACAACTTAGATAAACTTGTTGTACTTTAGTTTTTAGTTTTTGCCAGTTCATCCGTTCGTTTATTAAGTACCTATAAGTTTAGTTTGCTAAAAATATATTATACTTTAGAAGTTTGTCAGCTTGTCGTGTGTATTTACAGGCAAAAAAAAACAAATCAATAAAATGGCTCAACTAATTTCATTCTGATTTGAATTTGGATGAAGTACTGTAGCATAGTTTTTTTTTCATTTAAATCTTTGTAGAAACAAAAATGTTATAACCTATTGTGTTCAAAGTACTATTATTAGAAAGTAACACAACTAGATTTCCTCATAATTGAACAGCGCTTTTGTCTTGTCGGTAGAGCTGTAGACATTTATCACATCTTTCTTATCACAGCTATATAAATAAAATATACTCACGTGAAACAGCTGCGAGCTCAAATCCCTGGGGCATATATCACTCTCCCCGCAGAAAGGACTGACTGTGATGGTGTTCTCGTCCAACACCGGGAGGTTGTCGCTGAAACCGCCATCCATGTACCTGATGCCGTGGAACTGAGGCGGCAGCATACCGGAAAATACTGGCACGAAGCAAGATGCTAGCAGCGCCTACATTAGAATAAAATAATATAATGCCGCCAAAAATAGAAAACAGACTAAAAAACTTCTATATTTAAGAAACTAGGTTAGATCAAATACATTACTTTTGAAAAATACTGAACTATAGTACCGTATATGAAATTTCTCTAAGACCACTGTACGAGCAACCGCACACATACAATTTCACCTCATAATTTCCCCTCATTAGATTGGTTTTAGCATAAAATCATTGTTCGATTAGTATTCAACCAAGGCGGTTTTATTTAGCAAAACCCCTCATTAATCAATCAATCAACAGATCAACTAATCATTATCACGGAACTGTGGGCTTAAACCCCCAAAACCACTCTGAAAGTTCTCTATATATATTAACAAAAAGGAAATTGATTAGGCAACGCAATTGCAATCAATTCTTATTTACACAGTTTGAAACTGAAGATTTATTTTTGAGTGATACTTATAGTTGCAAACTGTACAACTCCCCTATATCTCTATCAAATGGTCTACACGATATTGCGTGACAAGTTTGAAATTGCCAAAATAAGAAACTATTGCAACGGCGTTAGACACTGTAACTCCAGTTAAGATATAATCACAAAACTGTCATCTCCTATCTGTTTCAAATGAGATTATATTTTTACGAATTAGGTATTATTTTGCGGAAGTCCATTTCACTATTTGATGTTAAATTCCACTACAATTAGCATGTAACCACAGACCACAAATCTTCAATTCGGAAACTTGACTACCATTACCAAACCGTCTTGCGGTTAAGTAGCCGAACATTCAACAGCTATATCCCAATTCTATTTAATGCTTGATGATGAGGCGGAACATAATATGGGTGTAGACTCAATAAGGGTAGAAATTTGATCACCATTAGAGAAGGCCGTAACGGTAATCTATTTCCGCACTGAATATTTGTGAATCTTGAAAGATAATTATAGCGGAATTAAACAAATTAATATAAACAATTAAGTAGTTAAATGAGATTTGCTAACTACGTAGTTACACAATTCAGATGCAGGTTTGTGCGTAATTAATATCCGCGGCAATGTAGAAAGCAGTCACCGCAAGGTCGAGAAGGTCATCGAAACGATACAATTAATTTATTAAACTGATTACATTGATAATACTAACTCTGTAGGTAGTAGCAAACGTTGTTCATACAATGATATCATCACCTTATCACTTGAAGTTCTTTCACATTAAACAAAAGCAATTTGTTATAATATTATCATTGTAACTATGAATATTTGTAACATTAGTCTTATCTTTTACTCTCTTATCCAATTTATGGACGCGACAGTTTTTTTTTAATAATAATAATAATAATATTTACTTTCACATTTTATCTTACAGATCTATTTTTACATTTAATGCTAGAGTATCAATTTTAGCGGAATTAAACAAAATAATATTCATTAAATAGTGAAATAGACTTCCGCAAAATAACACCTAATTCGATTAAATAGAGTATAAATTTGTGAAGAACTGGTGTCTATGCACCGAAGAACCTGTGTCACAAGACAGTTACCAAGTCATAGTAGTGATGAAATTATTCAAAATACAACGTTGTTATTGTGACCTGTGGCTTGATTGTGTAATTTAGATGCTAACAATACGTATGGGATGAATTGGTTCAATATTCAAATGCAAATCGTAAAGTTTTGTCTGTAACTACAACACTTAAATTGCAACATTCAATCATCGTAGATCTATCTATTTTAGTCTCTCAGAATTGAAATTTGTTGTATACGACAAATAAAAACATAGATCTATCAACTTTTTGCATGCGTTATTTGCCATTCCCACTACATAAACAACTAATCCAGTTATGTTACTAACCATGAAACAATTGATGGTTGCAGTTACAAAAAAAATTATGAATTGCAATTACAGCTGTTTATGATGCATATTCTCTAGACTCTACTTTTAATGAGATTTGTTAGAAATTTTGTTACCTCTATATATTTTTCCCATTTGACTTTGTAAAGTTGTCTATGTAAGTATCTCAGCTATTTTAAACTGCCAAGCAGCTTGCTTTGTTAGTGAGGCATAAAAGATATGACATCTTAGTCCTCCAGAATGTCTGCATTAACAGACATATCTTTGAATGGTATCACATGATAACATGATGTCCACATTACTGCTCATATTATCACTTACCATCAGAATCGTCAACTTCTTTACCATTCCAACTACTTAAACAATTCATAATTAAACGCCTTATTATATAATGCAAATCCTACACGTGACAAAAAAGGTTCGAGTGCAACTGCAAGTGATTGTGACCCATAGATTGATTGATTGGCTAACGTGATTACAAACAATTCCCATTAGAAACAGATAGTCATTAATATATCATAAATTATACCTTGTACAAATTGTTCGTTTGTTAATAAACGACGGTCCTAATTATAGAAATAATGCGATATGCTAATCACCTTAGTGATGACTAACTGATTTGTCATGAATTGGTGTTTTCTATGTATAATATGTATGCATTTAGAAAAAAAAGCATATTTAAGTAATTCTATCAATTGTTTAGTACCTAATAGTATAGCTGTGCTTTGAACTAGATGGCGCTATGTGAATTATCCTGACATATTATTATTAAATCATATAATTTGTCGCAACTTCGCCAGGTGTAAAGTCCGCCAAATACACTTTTACCTTTTGTACTCGTCTTATGTTATATAATATATGCATATATGCAGTAATATTATTATTAACTAGCGGACTCGCGTAACTTCGTCTACATCGTACTGACATTTATCATTATATTTTACGCAATCTACATATATTTTTAAATTAGTGCCAATAGTTATATTACTGTAAAGTTCCAACAAAATCCATTCAGTAGTATTTGTATGAAAGAGTAACAAACATCCATACTCACAAACTTTCGCGTTTGTGATATTATATAAGAATATATGATATAAGAAGTAAAACTATAATTCATAATCATAATAAATTACCATATTTGCGTTACCAACCTGCATGAGGTCTTCTCTGGTAGGGAATTCAGAAACTATCACATTCTGTCCATCGTACACCCTCGTTAGTGATATGTGAAGCCGACCACTGACAATCTTGTGGACATCCTGTGGCAGGTACCTCTCCAGCCCTTCGAGCAGAACATTCTGTATATTGAAGGAGGGGCTGAAGGGGCCCAGAGAGCCTTTTCTTGCTTCACCCACAACTCTCAAGACGTCTGTCGTGAGCTCACCTATAAAACAATAATACTATTTTATACAACGCAAAAACTCGAGAAATTTCACTGATAAAATTCAAAATATCTTTATTCAATAGGTCTATTACAGTCTGTTATGATATGTCAAATCTACCGTCAGTTCAGAATGATTTCGAGATGAGAAGAGCTGACAAGAAACTCAGCTCTTTATACATGTTTACAATAATACAGATAAGTTTAAGAGTTCGTCTTAATTATACACAACTTATGGTACTTAACAGGTGTTATTTTTTTTATAGATGATTATGATATGGTGAGGCCATCTACGCTAATAATATATCTAATATACAAATATCTGATGTAAAATCTCAATGTTTGTAACAAAACTGCTCCAAAATGGCTTGACCGATTCTTATGAAACTTTGTGTGTATTCGATAAGTTTAGGAATAGGATGTGAACTATTTTACATAATCATAAGTGATTTGAATACATTTTTTATTTTCTTTTAGGACTCTTTATTTTTTTTATGATTTCATATCTTCTGATTCCGAAACATGTACCTTTCAATTTTTATCTTTATACCATCAATGTCTATTTCTTAATAAAGCGATATTAATATGGTAAAACAACGTTTGCCGGGTCGGTTAGTATCAGTAAAGGATAAACATAAAGAATGAGGTCAAGTACAGTCAGTCAGCTCACATCGTAGCGACTTCATCAGGAATTAACAATATTAGAAAATGGAGGTACCGCGTGGAAGTTGATCTGACAGGGTACATGACTGACAATAAGGCCCATAGTCCCCATCATTAATTAAAGAGAGGCATGGTCCTGGGTCAATGTTGTGGTACTTACTATCATCTACACAAAAAGCAGAAAAAAAGAAAGAATAACTAAAATCCATCCACTAATCCTTACAAACTGTCTTATCTATTATTACTTAATAAGATTAATGTTGTGGCGGCATCTAGTCCCATGGTAAGCAGAGCTTGTGTTATGGGTACTAGACAATGGACATAGAAACTTTTTTTTGTAAATACATACATAATATATATAGAGAACCCCCAGACCGATACAAACAGTCATACTCATGAATACGAATGTTTGCGAGGAATCGAACCCGCGACCATCGGAAGTAAAGCGGTGTGCTAAACAGCTACACTAAAGAGGCCGTCATAATTAAATCAAAATACAGTTGAGTGGTTACAATATAAATTAAATTACCTACTATTTTCAAGTTCACACAAATATAGGTATGTCAGTTACCTTATTACTTATACGTTATCACTTCAACAATTTGTAAGTGCTATGATAATTAGCAGTTAATATAATTATTGGACTATGTAACCGTTTATTATGACCTTACGGTATCAGGCGTAAGATATACATTTACTATACATATATGCAACATTGCATATATATGCAGCAATTTGATTGGGAGAACACATATAATTATATGTGTTCTCCCAATGACGTAATGTTGTTATTACTAATATGTAAAGTGAGTGCTGTTTGTTAGCTTCTGACGAGCCTGCTCAATCATCATTACGAAATATACAAATAAATGTAGAAGGATTACACTGGACATCTGTTCTTAAACATTAGCCCATTGCTTATGTATTCTTTTTTGTGGCCGAGTAATATAGTAATGGTTAATTGGGAAGAATGGTTAAATGGGAAGCTACATTTTTCGTCTAGCAAGTAAGGAATAATAAGAAAAAATGGAATTTAAAAAAAAACGAAAAAAAGGTCATGGTCTTGAGTCTATGGAAAGCAAAAGCGTAATTTAAAATAAAAAATAATAATGTAGTAATCCTGCCTGAGATAACAGTATTAGCTGGCAGAGTACTGAGCAGAATGGAAGATGACCTGATGATTAAATTATACCTGATAACATGTATCAATTAAATCAGCCTTCATTCTGACAATTCCCTTTATGAATTAATGTGTTCATGTAATGAAGGACTTGGAATGGTGGATATAATAGTATGGGGAAAGGGGGTCACCATAGCTAGAAATCATTATGATAAATCACTAATGGATTTAGTCATGACAGATCAGTTGACCTGACCACATGTTCATCCTCCACTGGTACTGCGACAGCTCTAACATTCTATTATTCATTAAAAAAAGGTAGGATAGTATTAGTATGTAGGGTTTTAAATTAGTTGAATTAGTTTGTCATAACAAGTTTGTATTTTTATAGCAAATTACGATATAAACTGATACAGTATTCAATTTCAGGGCAAGATAATTCTTACTTATCAAAACTAGATGCACATGTTATCTAGACATAATCGACTTTTAAAGCCATTAATTCCTGGTGAATTAAACTGGACTAACTAATCTCATTCTGATTGTATAATTGTGTACAACTGGCCTGCCTGTAATACCAATAACTCCAGCTATTGTATCCAGCCTTTAGCCAGCTCCAGCAGTGTATACAATTAAATATATATTATGTTGACAAAGATAAATGAGAATATGTCAATTGAAATATATCTCTTACATGGATGAGCTGCGCTAGTTCTTGTAGTTCTGTCACAAACACTAGAGTAAAACACTAGAGATGAAAAAAGGTTTTAAGGGTTGAACTGGTGTACTCTAGTTCAACACCCCAAAGGATTTAACAAAAACATTTAGAAAAAAATTACACTATTTCAATTCTCTCATCGAAAAGTTAGGCATGTTATTTACACTTATATTGAAAAGCCAGAGAGTGGATTTTATTACAAGAGAAGTAAACTCTGGAATAATTGCACTACTGTGAAAGTATATTCGACTATTAATAAGGTTTCTGGAGTGACATAGACTATATATATATATATACACACAGAACTCACAAGAACTCCCAGGTTAAAACAGGACATTCTACATGTTAATAGTTAACATCAATAGCATGCTATGAACTGCAGAGGAATACAATAATAGAAAAGGTTTAAAAGTATGAGGCTGTTATTTATTACATTTATAGTTATTAAAAAAATAGCAGTTTTATATTTTTGTTACATGTACAAAAAAGGCTTGTTTTAGAGAATAAAATAGTAACTTTGTCATTGCTAAAATTTAAAATTTATTTTTTCTTGTGGTATTTATATAAACCCATACATCAATGTCTTGTAATATTATCCAAAATAACTAAATATATTTCATAATATAGTGAAAACATATAAAATTATATTCAGTTTTAATATTAAATAATTAAAGGTTTTCCACATATCATTATTCATGTATTAATATTCATAATATACAGTAGTATTTAATTATTATAGAGAATATTATTAATGGCATCTAGCTAAGGCACTGAAGATTAAAGAGACTACCTACATTTATTTTTAAATTGTGTGAATTATTTTAAACAAATGAAAAGGTGCGAATAAAATTAATTGTAAAAAAATAATAAATATCAACGTACCAATGGGGAGATCACACAATAGGCAGCAGGCAGAAAGTGCGCCAAAAGAGGCGCCAGATATTTTGCCTAGCAGCAAGTGTGGAGCATATTTTTTAAAACACACTGCTACACCGACATGGTAGATCCCAAGGAAACCACAACCAGCGAACGATAAGTTCATTATAATTTATTTCACATCAAAACATTCACATAAAATATTGTAAACACGCCCGACGTCTCGTAAGTACGATTGAACGCTAACACGAACAAGACCGATACTGAAACTAATATGCAAAAAATAGGTATATGTATAAATTAACACGATAAGATTAGAATAATCACAAAGTTATAAACGGGTTTTATTTATAACTGGAAAGTTGTAGGTTTATGAAGAATTATTAAAAACAAATCACACGTCCTTTCAAGGGTAGTTACAGTTTGATCACAGATCGTATAGACTTATGTTTGATCATATAAATAAAATCTAAGAAGTTTGCGTGTTTATATTTATTGTGTCAATGACTGACTGACAGCTATAAAAATTGAAAATAATGAAGAAGAACGAATTATACTTGATCTTTATGCTCTTTCATTCCTATTCCTTTCTTGAAAAAAAGCGAATGATATTTATGCTAGCGTTATGATGACAGACAGAATGACATCAATGACATTATCGTGATGACATCTGCCATCAATGACAGTGTCAGAGTCAGACAGGCAGACACTCAGATAGTAATTATTCCACAAATCAGATAAACTGGTAAACAACATAAAATAATCTATTTAGCACTGGCTGCTTCAAAAACAATCTACCCATAATTAAAATTAAAATTCCATTGTGAGCGGAGTAAAATTCGACAAGAGGAATTTTCTCCCCCAAACTGAACCCTGAATCTATATATATTTTCATGTGAAAATGACACGACATGCACGAAATTGTACTGCTGGAGCTGTTTACACGTATCACGAGAAGAAGAAAGATGCTGCAGCCTCTGGTTACGGAACACAGAGCGAGAGAGTCGGCAAAGATTCCGTGAAGAATTTTGATTGTTGCAGTTTAACTTTACAACCTTGCAGAAATCCAGTTGTCACCAAAGAGGGTTATTTGTTTGATAAAGAAGCTATCCTGGAGTACATTGTTTCGAAAAAGACAGAATACACTCGAAAACTAAAGCATTATGAGAAACAATTGAAGAAGGAGGATGCAGAGAAAGCAGAGTTAGCAGCAGCAGAAAAGGAGGCAAAATTGATAAAGTTTATGAATAGGGAAAAGAATATATCCTCTAACAGTGGCTCTAAGTCTTCTGTGAATGCACCTTCAACGTCAACCTCAAGCTCAGTTTCTAACCTGGCGAATGGTAAAGATAAGGAACTGCCAAGTTTCTGGGTGCCATCACAGCTACCTGATGCTAAGGTATCCAAGCTTGAGAAACCAGATCCAACAGTGTACTGCCCTATTAGTAGTAGACCATTAAAAATGAAGGATCTAATTGAAGTGAAGTGGACTTTAGTGAATGATCCTGATGACAAGAAGTCACTTATAGCCAAGGAGAATAGATATATGTGTCCAGTTACACATGACATCTTGAGTAATGCTGTGCCATGCGCTGTTATCAGGTGAAGTAAAGATTACACAGTATCTTTTATTTTCAGGTTTATAAATTTTTATCATTTTCTATATGTATATTTTCTCAATAAATGCATTATCTGCAACCTAAAAATATGCATAGAAGGATATTTCTATGGAACTGTTTAAAAAGTAATTTTATAAAAGCTATGTTAATAACTTGAATAAAATACCTAATAGAGCTATCATATGTTAGCATTATTAATTTTGTAATTGTTTTTTTTTACTTTCATATACTTAATGATTAGAAGATCATCATTTTGATCATTTACTTTCAAAAAGTATTTTATTTAACTCTATGTTTACAATCCAGTTTGACTATTTACTTCATGCTACATGTAATGATTTCAGAACAACTGGCCATGTTGTCACAATGGAATGTGTAGAGAAGATCATAAAGAAGGACTGGCTCCATCCACTCTCTGGAGATAAACTGAAAGAGAAGGACATCATACCCATGCAGAGAGGTGGCACTGGATATGCCCTCACTAATCAGAATTTAGAAGGGAGGAATGAAAGACCTGTATTACAGGCTTAGAATTATTTACTTAGCAATAAATAATAGTAACCCAAGACAATACACATAGCGCCATCTAGTTCCAAACTAACTAGACTATTATGGGTCCTAAACAACTTAGAGAAATACTTTTTATACATAAACAGCATATATAGAAAACACCCAGTACACCCATACTAATACAAATTATAGTCATGAATATGTTTGTATTTTGCAAGGAATACCCGCCCCATTGGAAGGTGATGTCCTAAAGCAGTGGACAGCAGAGACAATCAAATAGTGTAGTTTTTGCACAAAGCAGTTGGATCAGCTTAAAAATATACATAATAATAATACATACGTACATATATATGTATATAATAAAAAGAAATAATTTAATTGAAATAAAATGTTTTTGATAATATAACTATCACACATTTAAATATTTTGAGCTAGTATTGTAAGCATACCATTAGATGAAAATTGTAAATAGTATAGTTTTATAACTTTCAGGTTTAGTACACTTTATTTATATTGTTCACCAGATCTTAAGAGTTCCATTCATATTGAGACAGGTCGTGACAATGGGTAATGGAACCTATTTGATATGTCGAGAGAATTTTGCCATAAAATTATTCAAAAATCCAGTTGTATTTATACAGAAGTAAATGCAATTTGAATTATTGAATAGTATAAAATTGACTAGACTAGATAAGACTTAGATTGCTCTCATTGTATCTTGCCAATCGTGAAATTGTATCTGTAGGTAAAATTAATAATTTTATACTTTTATACACACTGATTTTTATTTCATTGTATTTATAATAGAACCTTAGAGTAACTATAGCGAAATTAAACCTTTATGACAAAAATAAGCATTATTACAATGACAACATTGAAAACTAATAGATAACCACTTTCATTTACAAGTCGGATAAAACAGAAATTATTTTTGTAGTTGCTGTTTTCCGAATTAATAAATTGCTGTAGCTTTCATATAGAAAAGAACTATTAATTCATTTAAAATTTAATTTTTGCTCTATGTATATATGCTATGTAATAATTTTCTTGAAGATGTTACAATGTATTTATTGATTTATAAGTAATTCCGCTATTGTAACAAAATCATAAGTTTTGACATAGAATGTGCATTAATCAAACTTATAAGTTGTAAATGTATGTGTATGTATTGTTGTTTTGTGGTAAGAGATGTGATAAAAACTACAAAATGGTATCTTCTATAAATCTTAAGTATATTTTGCTCTAATTAAAAATTGTATTCAATATATACATGTATATAATTAAATACATTCATTTTATTTCCTATGAATTATGAAATGAAAATAAATCTAACTGAAAATCAACAGTATTATTTCTAATATCAGTCTCAGGGTACGCTAGGCACTCATTACCTAAAGACTCCAAAAAGTTCAATACTGATTGACCTTGATCAGTCTGCAACCGATTGTCACTAGACGACAAATGATCACTTTGGTTAATATTATTCAGAGGTAATTTGTCCAACTGGTCGTTGTCTTTGACGTGTATTAAGCTCGGTTCTATCAAGCTGTTTGTTTTCATATAATTATCTGTTTTGTCAACTGAGGAATTCATGTCCCAATTTTTGGTTGTATGGAAATTTATATCATTAGTCACAACTGGTTCTTTACATGTCAACTCTATAAGACTTTCTCTCAATAGTTCCTGGAGGTCACAATTGTCATCTGAATTTGGTTGTGTAGCAATCTCTTGAGGTTGTGTTGCACTATTTTGGCCCTTATCTAAATCTAGTGGTCGTATCATTTGAACTCTACTGTATTGTGCAATTTTTTCAGGGTCAATTTTAATTTTATTAACTAGAGTTGCAGAAGTCTTTATAGGTGATGATCGAATATCGAAATGTGTACTGTGAAACTGTGTGTGTGGTCCTTTTTTATGTTTTATCGGATTTGCTATTACAGTATTAGACTCTTGTGTGATTATTTCATCATTATTTTTATCATTACTTATACTATTATTATCTAGTACATTAATAGATTTAGGGGACATGTTTATTGCACTTTGTTCATTTGGTGCATTAAAATTTATGAGATCTTCCACTCCTAGCTCGATAACTGAATCACTCTCTGAAGAGATTCTAATCCTTTTTGCTTTTAATTCCTGTGATTTCTGTTGTTTCAATTTCCAAATCCGCTTGCTAGCTGTCGGCCATTTATCAACTGCATTTATCCTTGCACAATCTCCTATATCATTTTCTGTGTTAGCGATTTCTTTATTGTGTTTTGAGAGCCAGAGTTGTGAGGGCTTGCTCAGGTCTGCATTGAACTGATTCGTTTTAGGAGGCGGATTGTGTCTGCAATATCCATCTTTGTCTTTGATACAAGTAAGTGCGTCCATAGTAAAGTTATATTTTCCAGGGTTCATACCAAATAACCTGAAAAAAATACTCAATATATTTCACTTTAATGCACACAATACAAAAGGTTCATAGTGCAGAGAATAATAATTGCGAGACAAATATAATAAATGAAAAACAAAATGCAACAAATTATAAACATAACTCAAAATTTAGACCTTTAAGATCTTTACTAAAATAAATATAATTTAATTACAATAATGTTTACTGTATATCAGACTGTAACCACCAATGATTACAACTTTCTGGAACATCATATCACAAATTAATGTCAGCCTTTTTACTTTCCACAATTACAATCTGGCTTAGGAACCACATAATCCTAGTGAAATAGATTTTAGATTTCACTAGCTGTGCCCGCGCCTTCGTCCGCGTGTTACAGGGACCTTGGCCAAATGATGAATAAATATTCAATAATCTAACACAGAAAGGCCAAATAAAAAGTTTCATCATCCCAGCTTAATAAATGACGATTTTCCATATAAACTTTCATCTCCTCTTACAAAATTATTTAAAAATCTATCTGTGTACCTAAATTTATTTAAATTGGTCCAGTAGTTTTTGCGTGAAAGCGAGACAGACAGATGGTGTTACTTTCGCACTTATAATATTAGTAAGGAAGTAAGGATTACATACTTGCCAATATCGTCATTAACTGTACACAATTTCCCTTCACATCCATCAATTTTCTTAAGCAAACAGGGTAGTAGCGACTTGATTTTCTCTATTAGTTGCTCTAACTGTTGCAGAAATATATTTGCTTGATCTTCTTCAGAACCACTCTTGATGATGGCCAATAGACAGTGGAACAGGTTCGAGTGAATTTTAGCAGGTATGTGTGTTGGATGGTTTTCATAATGTTTTTGTAGTCGATATAAACTGCAGAATTCCTGTAAGTCATAAATGGATTATTCATGTTAAAACAATATTAATGTGTACGTAACTAACACATATACATATGACAAAATGGTAATAAATAACCCAAGACGATTCACACAGGGATATCTAGTTCCAAACAAAGCTTGTGTTAAAGATACTAAACTACTAATAGAAAATATTTCAGTAATATTTTTTGTAAATACATACAAAACATATATAGAAAACACTTAGAGCAATATAAACAATTTTACACATGAATATAAATGTTTGGAATGCACAAGAAACAGAATTTGCGACCATCTGGAGGAAGGTGAATTTGATATTGGCTTTATTTGTTGATATAATATTATATAAAATGACTACCGTACCGTAGAACACTGGAAGCAAGATACAACAGTCCCACTCTTTTTTCTCGGTTTATGTGGTGCATCTTCAGGCACTATTTGTTTTGGAAATTTTACTTTTCTGCCACTTCTTGTAACTTTGGTCTGTAAATAGTAAATAAAATTAATACATTTATTATAATAGAAATAAAGTTTATCTCAACGAAATCTAATGTTCTACAACAAAGATTGAAGAAGTTGGGTCTAAAATGTTTGTTATACCAGTATGTGACAATTGGATCCAAAATTAAACCAGTAATATATTAAAAGGGAACATTAGGATATTATTTATCTGTAATGTTAATGTAGATTTTAAATTATTGTAAATTTCCTTCCTTCTTCGTCTTCTGATAGAAAATCATATTCTGGGATATTCAGAAGAGATCAAATTTTGATTAGTCCTATTGTATAAACATACAATACTTACTTCCACAGGAGTTTCTAGCTCCTCTGGCTCTTGCTTCAGTGTTGGTAATTGTACTTCCATCTCAGGTTCTGTGGTAACAATCTTTTGTACTTTTTTAATTTCTTTCTTGATTTCCTCTTTCTTATTTTTAATTACAAATTTGTTCTTGCCAACCACTGTTAAGTCTCTTGGTGATACAACTCTGTAATTAATTTGAACATTATTATTACAACATTGATGATAATGCAAGATGAGAAGGCAAGATGACTGCTGGATTTCGACAAAGTAACCTTAATACATAGGAGGGCCTCCTTTCACCCAAATTATTCTCTGGAGTTTTAAGCAATATTTTTCCAAAGCTAGACTGGGACTCCCAGTCTGGAAGTGTAATCTATCACGGAAATCTTATAAGAACAGGATTTAATGAACTTACTATGTACATCTTTAGTAATTTTTTAACATATTAGGACTGGTTGGCTCAAATTTTGTTTTTGTCTTATCACATCTACATTGTTATATATTTTTGGAACCAAATATCCCATTGTTCTTAGAAAGGGAATACCGATTTCTATTTGGCTCAAAATTTTAGACTTACTTGTATATAAAACGTGTATTAGTCACTGGATCATAGGTTGGTTCCACTGGTATTTTTTCAGGATCACTAAATATCTTTAGTGCTTGGTTGACCATCTTCATTTGTGCATCATTCAATTCATTGAGACTGCAACAACATATATTTTTTACATATATATGTATATAAAAATGAATCCCTATATCCCTTTGTCAGGGAATCACGACTGAAGAGTTGGACTGATTTTGTTAATAATTTTTGTGTAGTTTTTATGAAAGAAGAGAAAAAATTAAGAAAATTGTGCAGAAAAAATCTTTTTCTTAAATATACCAATACAATCTTTATATTCATAGTTAAGACATGACTATGTCTGTCCGATCAGCTACCTAATTGATGATCAAAACTCACCAGACGGAGAAATTACATCTTAAAATTGACTACTAATTAGGGATTACAGAAAAACAAGCAATATGTGAAAGTTTTTATTCATATTACATTAATAAATAATTATTATGAGATTGCATAATTATTTATTAATATAGCACCTTTCAGCCTCTTGTGAACTTCAGTTAAGAAGAAATAGCAAGAAATACAATAGATACTCATACTGTAACTTTTGTTTTAGTCAGTCACAATATTGATAACATGATAAACTGTTCATACTTTTTTTTAATACTGTATTAAGGAACATTGTCTACCCCACAAGGAATTCTGAATAATTGAGACATGGTGTTAAAACCATGAACCAAGGAAGAAAGAATTAATGGAGATTAATCCTTTCTTTGTATCCAGTATCATGTTTATAAACAAAAGAGCTCTGGGTGCCTTTAGACTAAAACTGTTTACCACAGACCTAGAGTTAAATAACATATTTTATATAATTATTGATTTACCTGTGATATGTTTCTCCTAATTTCAGTAGCTGCACTGATGTGTGTTTAGATGGAGATGGGCTGCGTGTGCTGGAATGTACACTGTAGTATGGTAAATATAGATATTTTTTATTATCTATGAGGTGACAAAGGGAAATGTAGTGTATCACCATCTCTATCACCTGTCTCATAATAATAGTAGAAAAGAAGGTCAACATAATTAATAATTTAACTATATTCAGCTTCTTTTCTATAATATATATTATTTATATTTAAAAAACATAATTAAAAAAAAAATGATTTAAATGAGGATGAAATGAAAAAACTAAGGCATGTTAAGCAAATTACAGTGTATGGCAACTTATTTTTCGGAATCATGAGAATCCAAGGACTAAGGTGGTAAGTTGATATCTGAATGCTGGTGATGCTCTCACCTTCCTTACCATACATTTGCTGATGATGATAAAAGTAGTAACAAATTTATAGATTAATACATACAAATATAATAAAAACAAATTGTATATCTATCTACTATTACACTTTTTAATTACATTTAGTGAATAAAATTATAAAGTACATTTGCACTTACTTTTCCTTAGGTTTTATCTTTGACAATGTCCTTTCCTGTCGGGGCTTAAGTACATTTGGTAAGTTCTTCATTTTAACTATTTTTCTCTCGACTGTCACCTTCGGCACTGTGTTTACGACTGTAGTAACAACGGTAGGACTAGTCGTGACCGGTTTCAACACTAAATTGTTGATTGGAACATATTGTTTGTTTGTTTGGACATTTTTAGGCAATAAAAAACTTGCCAACTTCAAGTTATTACCGACTTTGTTATCTTGTTTTTTCAGAATTCGAGGTTTAGAAACATTTGCAACATTATTTACTATGTTATTTTCTAATATACCACTATTCTCGTAAAATGTTTTTAGGTTATCGCTAACGGGAATTTGTTCTTCGACGGCATTTTGTGTTACAACATACGATCTCCCCTGCAAAATATACAATGTATATCAATAGAGACGAATATGTTTTTCTATTGTATCATTTAGATAAACAAAAAAGTCTTGGATACCTGTATGGCGCCAGGATTTTGTATCAAATAAACTGGTGTATATTGACTACTATCTATAACGATATTCTCTTGTGACGTAGCCATATTTGATAGTTTAATAAATTAATTATTAAACTTTAATACATTCTTGATTTGAGATTAAATTTTATTTGTAAAAATAAGACAAAATGTAAAAATAGTGAGCAATTATTGACAAATTGATTACATTACACAGATTATGAAGACCACAGCTAATAGATACCATAGAGTACTGCAATCGATTGTCAACAAGTACAAAACTGTTTAATGGCTATTGTACTGTATATCTATACTCGAATTTAGATTGTGTTCGTCTGTAGGTGAAGATGAATGGAAATGAAGATCTAATTATATATTGTAAAGATAGTAGAAAATCTTTTTGTGTATGTCACAAACTAAATAATAATTAAAATAACCCTGGACAATTCTCATAGCCTCATCTAGTCGCACTTATGTTATAGGTACTAAACAATATACATAGGTACTTAAAATATATACAATGGGCACCAGCTATGGATGTAGGTACATACAGTGGTGGCATTGTTTGTAGTGATTGCCAGAATATATAATATACATACATAGAAAACATCCAATGCGATACACATATCCATGAATATATTTTTTTGCAAGGAATCAAACCCGCGATTATTGGATTAAGGCGGTGTGCTAAAGCGACAGCCTACAAAGGCAATAAAATTGAATGAATTTATTATTTGACGGTCTCTGGTAGACAAATACAAAAGTATATATTTAGTATTGAATGCTTTCTTGTGTATGGAAAATGCCATTATTTTATACAATTTATAATGTTAATTCTTACTTATTGCATAAGCATTATTTGAATGAATATTTTTTTTTCCGATAATATTTAAATGAATTTTATCAAATCAAAAAAAAAAATTTTTTGTCTTGTTTTGTTTAAGCATAGTAAAGTCTTTTCGATAGAAACACGGCGCTAAATAACTTTTATGTTTTGGCACATTATTTTTAAGTAAACATTTCAGTCCAGTTCCACAGTACAAAAATGATTATACTCTGTGCTTATAAAAAAAACACTGATCTATGACCTAACCTAAGCTCTTTCTTTATCTGTCAACACTCTTATTACAAGGTGATTATATGAAATAAATTATAAAAATAGTAAAATAATACCTTAAAATTGTATGTATTTTGTATTTGAAGTGTTATTAAATAATATGAAGTTATATTATTTATTTAACTCCAATATTTTTGCTGTTGTTAGTGTTACTTCATAAAAGTTGAACACGTGTGGATAGCGGTCTTAGTGTTACATCTTGATTTTCTTACAGGTGCGAAGATGACAAATTCTAAGGGTTATCGTCGTGGTACGAGGGACTTGTTCGCCCGCAGGTTCCGCACTCATGGCACCATTCCTCTGGCCACGTACATGAAAGTGTACAAAATTGGCGACATCGTTGACATTAGGGTACGTATAAGAGACCGCAACACGCTTTTCCTCTCATTAAAATTGTGCTTAAAAGAGACACATCTCATTGAAATTCCCATGTAATAGCCCACCTCTGCTATTTTCCCCATAAAATTAGCATTGAATTGCTTTAGTAATTTCGTTCTGTGGTAATTTTATGCGTATTAATAATTCAATAAATTGTTACCCTATCCAAGTTTAATCAGTTTAGGTCATACCATTAGTATTAAAACCTTACAAAATTTGTTTTCTGTATTATATCAGATGAGTTTAATTATTCTATTTCAAATTAAAAAAAAAATATTTTATGGTATGAAAATTTTTATTAAACATTCTATAAAACTGAAGGACTCATTGTAGTAAAATATAATTTAAGACTATATTAATAACAGTCCAAAGACTAATGGTATGTATATATATGTTTATAGGGTAATGGTGCCGTCCAGAAGGGTATGCCACACAAAGTGTACCATGGCAAGACTGGCCGAGTATACAATGTAACAGCACATGCCCTCGGAGTTATCGTTAACAAGAGGGTGCGAGGTAGGATCATCCCTAAGCGTATCAACATCCGCATTGAGCATGTTAAGCACTCCAAGTGCAGACAGGACTTCCTGAAGCGAGTTAAGGAGAATGAGAGGCTTCTGAAGGAAGCTAAAGCCGCCGGTAAGGTTATCAAGCTGAAGAGACAACCTGCCCCTCCCAAAGCTGCTCACATTGTCAGTGGAATACACAAACCAGTCTTATTGGCTCCCATCCCATACGAGTTTGTAGCTTAAAAATTGAAATAAAGTACTTTTAAGTATATTTGTTTTTATGTTTTATATCTGGCCAACTACCACTACAATCCAAATCACTAAACCTTCTATATGGTCATATATTGTATCATATGTCATTTACAGGAAAGGAGAATAGAGCTGAAGATAACAGCAGTTTAATAGCTAAACTTTTGTTTGTAAGATAATAGCAAATTCATATTTTAGCTATGACACAGCTGTTATCCTACAAACTATTTCCGTAACAGCAATGGTAAAAATGGGTCTATACATTTTATAACTAAGAATGCCTTATAACCAAACCACAACGCAAATTTGAATTAGTCTATCATGTTATAGATTGAACAGAAAAAGATTATAATTTGTACAAAGTAAAATATGGGTAACATAAATTATCTGTTACTTTATTTATTAGAAAGTGTTAATTTATGTCCAAAAACTGCTTATTATGCCTTTAGAATAATTAATTTTATCTTCATATTATCTCTAATAATAATATACATAGTCAGATGCACTGTTGATGTTATAGTGTAACACTTGATTCAATCAAATAAAAAAGTAATATATTCCTGTATGACTTCTCAGGCTCTCAAGCATATCAGTTATTAATCACTATCCTACTGTCCAGTTCAAGTTGAGAAGAACTGGTAAGAAACTACATTTTGTTTAGTCAGTCATGTTTCATTCAATTTTAAATCAAGTCTGCTGTTAAATTACTGCATTATTTACTGACCGCTGTATCTCAGGTTCATTTGGTTTGTTAACGTGGTCTCCATTACCGGAAGTTATGGATACATCTTGCCTTGTCTCGTAAATGAAAATGGTTGGAATTTTTTATGGCAGACAGATTTTGTACTATGCCCTGTGAGATCTATAAGTATTGTGAACTAATCGTAAGTCCGCTATATTCATCATCATGTAATGTAATGTACACGAATTTATCTATACATATAAATAAAATTGGAGTGTCTAATAATATTGAAATAACCGTTTTTTACTACATGCATATGAATATAAATACACCAAAATAACTTTTTTTACAATTTTTGTCTGTCTGTCTATCGGTCCGTTTGTTCCGGCTAATCTCTGAAACGGCTGGACTGATTTTGACGGGACTTTTTTGGCAGGTAGCTGATGTAATAAGAAGTAACTTAGGCTACTTTTATTTTAGGAAAATTAAGTTAAATTCCACGCGGACGAAGTCGCGGGAACAGCTAGTATTTAATACAAACTTAGATTAACTTAAACTAGATTACCACCACAAAAGAAATTCAATGTCTTTCTGACAGACTCGACCTCGACCATTCGCTCTGCGGCGAGACATTCCATCTCTACATTTTTTACCGTATGCATACTTCACAGAGAGTGCTGTTACTAGCTGCTGCATTTCACCATCACAATACCCGCCAGAGTATAAAATACCATCCTGGTCATTAGGTCGAATGTTGCTCACAGTCCTGATCATTTGGTTGAATAGTGTCCACAGTGCGTTTTTCCAGAAACTGCCATGTACAACCACATCGCGGAATCATCTTCCAGCAATGGTATTTCCGAACCGATACGATATTGAAACCTTCGAGAGAGCTTATTTCTTCTTAAAAGACACGCATTTACAATCCCCCTGGTGTTGGGGGTGTGCATAGGCGGCGGTAATCACTTATCATCAGGTGAGCCGCAGGCTCGTTTGTCCCCTGTACTATAAAAAAACTTATAGTTTCGGTCAAAAATAAACAATAACGCAGGACAAATTATATAGTTCCATCTAGTTCCAAGCTAAGCATGAGAGCTTGTGTCATGTACTAAACAACTGATATGAATACTTAAATACACTTTTTTGTAAATACATACGTAATATACATAGGAGAGGCGAAAGTGGATTGTTAGTACTGTGAACTGATAACCTCATTGCTGGCACTGTACTATGTCAGATTGACCTCCACGCAGTTCTCCCTGAAAACCATCGTGATAAATTCCTAGTGAATTTGTTACAGAATTGACCTGACTTCATATTCATCTTATCATCCACCACTGATGTTCCGCCAGCGTAAACTGCTAGCGCAGGCGGAGGCACCATTCCATTATTTCATTATTCATCACTTAAATATATATATATATATATATACATAGCAAACACCCAGACCAATACAATCATATGTATGAATATAAATGATTGTACTGTGCGAGGAATCAAACTTGCGACTGTCAGAAGCAAGGTGGTGTGCTAAACCACTCAACCATCTAGGTCACAATAAACACAGGTAAATGAATACAAAACACTTGAAGAATCACAACTTTGTATTTGAAATGAACCGTATTTACAATTGATTGAAATCTAAAAATTGAATAATAATGAATTGAATTTAAAACAATTTCACAATAATATTATAATGCCATTTCAACTTTAACATTCGCGGCATATCATTTAACATGATCTATCGTAGTGACTATCTTAAATAATATAAATTATTATATTAATAAACTTAACAACTAGCATCTCTAGATTGATAGAACAATATATATCCTGTTTCTGATGACTTTTGTATATCAGACGTTAGGCCGTAGAAGTCTTCTATCGCTGAGGCATCAATTTTCTGAAACAACAATAAATTTTATACCATTAACATTGTGGGGGATCACTATACAATTATTTAAGAAAACAGCAATAATTTCAAATGATTATGGTATACTTCCCAACAGGCAGACAAAAGAAGAGTAGGAAGACAGAAAAAGGATGGGCTGGTGATATAAAGAATAATGCTGGAAAAGATTGAATGCAAACTGTGATGGAGACAGACCAAAAATATTATAAATATATTATGTTATGTGAAAGAATGAAGCTATAATAATAATAATAATAGGTATATTTCTTGAGAGGGCAAGACATTCAAAAGTGACATAACATAATATAAGTAATTATAAAAAAAAGTCAATTTTTTTATAAATATGAGCGGCCAGCAACAGTTATAATGAAAATGATTGGGACCAAATTTTATTGCCGTATTATGAGAGCTTTGATAAGAAAACGAAGCACTTCATTTAAGTTGATTGAAAGGAGTGAATAAATACAATATTACTTACATCTACCATATCATCATCAAATAGCAGCCAGAAGCCATGACTTTTCACTATACTAATGTAATGCCCCCGGTTGGGCCCGGAGCCACAGTGTACCACCACCGCCACTAAATCATAAAGCCGGTCCGGGTTCACAGCATCGTCTGACTGAAATTAAGAAAATGTAAAAAAATACCTCAATCAATAAATAATTGTATTTTGTGATAATACGCGTCCATAAAACATGAAAAATGATAACAATTTACTCCACTACGGTCAACTAAATAAAGTGTACATGAAGTAATAAGATTGTACTCTAATTTACAAAAATTATGGGGACCAATGAGTATGAAATTTCACACACTTATAGTTTATATAGAAGAATGCTCCTTTACAGTACTCTTTTGTTTATTGTTAAAGTCTATGGTCAAATTGAGAATAGATTAACATTGTTTGTATGTAATATTATATATCTACAGTATTACTAATCGTTAAATAAATTATAGTCGAACTTCACTTTTTACATCATCCTACAGACATTCTTATTTTTATCAATCAACAGACTTGGAATATATATATACCATGAAGTAATATAATAAGGTACTTACGGTATTAAATAGCCTCAGCTCCAACGGGAACACGACCCGATGCGACACCTTGATGTGCCTATTATACTGTTCCATATACTTAAATCTCTTCAAGTGCAAAGCGAGAATGAGCGGCAATTTCTTGACACGCATGCGCTTCTGTGCTTCTTGATAGCTACTACAATTGTCACATTTGAACTTGTTATCATTGCAAAGGGTTTCTGTATCACTAAAGCATTTTAGACAGTGGGTGATACTCGTGTTTTGGCCTACGTCCACCTGAAATTGATAATATACGTGTTTTATTTTGTTATTGACACATTTATGTTCAAAACTTGCGTCACTATTATTATTTAACTATACATATAAATAAAATTGGAGTATTTGTTTGTAATATTGAAATAACTGTTTTTTACTACATGCATATAAATATAAATACGGTACATACACCAAAATATCATTTTTTACGATTTGTCTGTCTGTTTGTTCTGGCTAATCTCTGAAATAGCTGGACAGATTTTGATAAGACTATTATTAGCATGTAGCTGATATAATAAGGAGTAACTTAGGGTACTCCACGCAAACGAAGTCACCGGTATAGCTAGTTTTAAATAAAAATGTTTTACACACTTTACATGTCATCTTTGTCTCTTAAGATTAAAAATATAAAGTCCCTTGTCAGGATAACTAACGTCTACAGGTCGTCTCCTATTTAAAAGTACTTAGTTAAGTAAATTATTCAAAAGTACCATCCGTACGTTCATTGTCAGCATTTCCTTTTTTTTACCATAATCATTAATTTTAAAACTCTTATCTATATTAATGTGTACTAAATGCAAACGTTAAAAAAAAAACTAGTACCTGCAAATCAAAAAAATGTTCATCTTTGCTACTGACAGTTTCACAGTTCAGACATCTCGTTTCACTGGTAAGCGTGCCCTGGAATATCTCGTGCACCCACGTCGGCTCCGTGCTCTGAGGCACCGTCCCGTTGCAGGTCACATTCTCCCCTGAGCTATTCTTTTGTAACTTAAGAGTACTTTGATTGCGTTCAGCTGCAATAAATGTAAAATAAGAATAATAATAAATAAATAACCATGGACAATTAACACAGCGCCATCTAGTCCCACGGTAAGCAGAGCTATGTTATGGGTACTAGACAACCGATATAACTACTTAGATACATATTTTTTTAGTAAATACATGAATAATATACACCCACCCAGACAGATACAAACAATCTTAATCATGAATACAAATATTTGCACCGTGCGAGGAATCGAACCAGCGACCATCGGAAGTAAAGCAGTGTGCTAAATCGTTACACCACCATCAATAATAATAATGTATAAGGTGTACCAATTATCTGCTTTGCTGCTGTAGGGCACAGTGTTAGGTATTAAAAATTTCTTAACTGCCTATACATAGTCGTTATTTACGTACTAAGTCAGTTTAATAAATCCTTAACATAATGTCACTGTGTGACTGAAGCAGCAACAGCTATAAGTAAAGGCCAATTTAAACAAAATTAAATACTTAAGGATATTTTTATATTAAAAAACAATGACATTAGCAACAGGAAATTTCATCATTATCCATCTGATATATATATATATATTTACTTTGTAACAATGGTTTTTAAAAACTATATAATAGTATTATAAAGAGAGATAGTGGATTTTGTTATGAAGAAAGCCTACTCTGCACCAATTTGAAAAATTCATTCACTATTCAGAACTGCATTATACCAGTTAGAAATATGTAGTATATTATGTTAGTAGAAAATAGAAATAATCTACTTTAGAATAATCACATTTTTTTACAACTAATTTGGAATGCAGACTCATCATGAGAAGAACCAGCCAGAGACTAGTGTTGCTCTTTAAAATAAGTGTTGTTCTAAGTAAATACACATTAACAAGGATTAGGCATGAGACAATCAATATAGAAACTGCTATACAATCAATCTTAGTGCAAACTGTGCGCAGATAATATTTCTATGAATCTTAAGTTAGATCTTTTCTACAAAAATATTATTTAGTATATATAAAACTCACAAAACTAGCACTCTCTAACTTTGCTAGGGTAGTAATGCAAGGGATGATGTAATAATAAAAATATGGACAATCACTTACCTAATATAATCTCATTAATATGATTTATAAGGAAATTAAGGAACTCGTGTGCATCTTGTTGCATATAATTATCAAACTCCTCTGTAAATATAAAGAAAATTATTACATATCTTTAAGATAGAAGTACAAATATACATATATGTATATAATTATATATAAATAATCATACTTTATTATCATCAGGTAGTCATTTGCTCATTCTATACATAATTTTCGCTTAGCATAACTACTGTCTATTAAACATTTTACATTTTGTTAAATAACATTAATAATTTGGCTAAAATAATTTATTATCTAACAGTTCGATTGCCACTTTTAAAGAAATAAGTTCTTCATATTGATTTATACAACTTTAAATAGTTTATTAAAATAAACAGTAATTTTATTGGCTTGCACAGTAAATAAGTTTACAGCAAAATTTGTCATATATTACATGTAGTAGACTACATGTTTTTACATTCCAGAGAATCAAATCATCATGCTTCTGTACCCAGTAATTTCACTGTGTTACTAGCACTTCAACTGTAACACGAGAAAGCTGCTTGGCTTATAGAGATAGTAGAGACAGAGGTTCTTATGCAGATGTGTTTGTACAAAGTTTACCTCTACTATGTTATATTAAAGAGTTCCCACAAGTTGTAATTAGCGAGTTTGACAATATCATAGCTTCAGAGAGACAATAAGATTTTGTACATATAGCAATTTCAATTCTTAAAGTGTATAGTGGTCTCTGGTAACATACACTGGCAGTATATTATATTACCTTTTTCCTTCCTTAATCTAGCAATAAATTTTTTAGGTGCAATAGAGCCAACTTTTTTTTTCTGTGTGGCAATGCTATAAAACAAGTCTGCTAGGCATGTCAGCAGGGTTTCCTTGGTTCTCTTATTTTTAGCTTTATATTCAAGTACTTTTTCTCTAAATGGGCGGCAGAAGTATAATGCTTGTAATACTGAGTTGCTATAACAAGTGTTTCCAAACTGAAAAAAATATAAAAATATAAATTATGCCAAAATATAAAAATGTAATATCTAAAACTATAAACTGTTATATGATGCTCTATGAAGTTATAGACAAAACAAGTTTCATTAAATTAGTTGTGAAGATATTCTTATGTAAATATTATTGGTGTTATATATTATGCGTAGAACTGTATATAACTAGGTACATATAAACATTTATAATGACTTATAAATTAAAAATATAATTTTATTATGAATTATTATGGAATTTAATTATGATGATGTCAATAAATGCGTGTAATCTATCCATCTAATCTATGCGTAGAAATCTGTAGATGATAAGTTTAATCAAAACTGAATAAACTTACATTGACTAATCCAAAATAGTGTTCGTTCGGTGGGAACTGCTCTGACCCGATATCTCTTTCCAACTGTGATATATTTGCGCCCTGAAATATTTTGCAAAAACTATTTATTACCATTTTTTTTTATAAACGCCGATTTTGATTACAACAATCCAACTATGTTGAAGCAGTAGAAATTTGCACGTAACATTGTGGAATTCGCTTCAGGCTTGCTGCTTACTAATCACGATGTTTATATGTTGAATAAAATTAGCAGTCAACAAGAAAATTTAATGCATTTCTCTCACCATTCTATGTTGGAAATTAAGGCCGAGATCCTGACATATTGACATTTGCAACCGTTTCTGGCAGCTGGTACAAAGAACACGTAATATATTGTTGATGCCGTGTTTACAAATTTAAAATAATGAAGCTAATACTAGAAACATAATTGAAATTTCTTTTTGATAATGCAAAACAAGAAAAATATGTATTGGCGATTGCCATGCCAATTGCTGCCATAGATTATAGATTAGTGAAGTGTGACGTCAATGATAATGACATTTTGACATTGACAGCACTGATTCCGACTCTGAGACACAGAGTACTTTTTACATCCAGCAAGGGAATCAGTAAATGTGTCAGCTAGCTAGGAACCTGAGACAGCACATGTCAAATTGGGTGTGTTCAGAATTTACAAATTTATACTGTTGGATCCAATTTACAATATCTAGTAGTCATAGGCGTTTCAGTCGGTCTTCAGTTTCATTTTATATTCATTAGGTACGCACAAGGTATTTTTTTATTATTTACTTAGCAATTAAGATTTATTATATGAAAAATATATATTTTCATAAGTCTTTTGGTGCTGTAGTATTATGATTTTGAACAGTACCATCTCTTCGTCTCATTTCCCCGTTTACCAACATCCTCCCGTCTCCCATTTGTCCCTGTGCCCGTTTCTATTCGGGAAGGAGGAAGTTTACGTGTCCGTGTTTAGTGTTGACGTGGCGATTTCTGGAACTTACTTATTAACTGAAACATAATAAAATATATTATTTAACAATAAGAATCTTGTTATAATCTTGCTAGGTAAAGTCTTGTCTTTGTGTTACTATTTTTACAGCTGTATTTCTTTAATTTGAGTATTTGCAATATCCCGGGATTAGTTTTTAGTTAACCAACTATGTTATATTTTCTTACAGTTAAATATTAAAGATGTTGAAGTCATTATTTATCGCTTTGACCATCTCCGCTGTTTTCGCCGGCGTGCCTTCCAATGAAGAGACGAAAAGACTGATGGACCACCTGTCTGATGTGGAACACTTCAAGAATGAACATCACAATAAACAATTCGACCACGACGCCTTTTTGGGAGAGGATCAAGCCAAGACTTTTGATCAGTTGCCACCAGAGGAAAGTAAAAGAAGGCTGGGGTAAGTTTTTAATAATCTATTAATTTAAATAGTTTATTTATTAAAGTTTTATATTCCTCATTTTTAATATCATTTGACATAGAGCTGCTATAAAGTTGCCTTATAGTTTTAAAATTTTTATATATTGGAATTAAATATTTTTGAGCTGTACTATGTGTATATGAAGTGGGTGATGCTTTGTCAGGTAGGTCTGATTGTCATGTATTGCATCACCATTATGTATTGTTTCTTATTGCATCACCACATAGAGAGATTCAGTAAATTAATCTGGCAATTTATAACATGAATTCTGTATTAATTAAATGTAAGAGATAATTGGATCTCTATCAATTTCCAATATATGTATCACTTTTATATTGTTCTTTAGATCAGTATTTCTTAGCCTTTTTCAATGTATCAGCAAGAAGAATTTTATTTATATGTATAGATATACTAATAAATAAAATTAGGGTATCTGGTTTTAACATTGAAATAACCGTTTTTTACTACATGCATATGAATATAAATATGATATATACATTAAAACATTTTTAACATATAACATTTTTTACAATTTTTATCTGTCTGTCTGTCTGTTTGTTCCGGCTAATCTCTAAATGGCTGGACCGATATTGACTTTTTTTGGTAGGTAGCTTATGTAATAAGGAGTAACTTAGGCTACTGTTATTTTAGAAAAATAGAAAAATAAAGTTAAATTCGACACGGACAAAGTGAAGCCTACAGCTAGTAATAAATAAAACAGGAATAAATCACAGACAATCTATTATTGTACTGCAAAAAAAAATAAATGGGAAAAATAGATAAAATGGCAGACCCCCATACACACACAATATAAGAATTACAAGATATAGTGATATCCTCAATTAAACAGACTGACACAATAAGATTTATAGGTTTGATTGGAAATATCATAAAAGTACTGTGTATCAGAAATTAAATTTCCTACATGTAAGTTTGTTTAATTTGACCTAATTGGCTGACTGACCTGATTTCATCCTCATTCGAGGGGTGAGTACTGATCTACTGAGGTACAGTTCCCGGGCTCTTACAATCACAACAAATTCTTTATGAAAATGAATTAATACCTGTATATGATTGTGCCTTAATAAAATTTATTATTATTATATATGTTCATTACATGTTTAAAAAGATGAAATTTTCTGTGTAACTATGAACATTAAATTATACTGTTATATTATTATACTTTTAGATTTATTATATTTGCATTGTATGATTTTATTACATTGAAATAAAGAAAACAAAAAATAGTATCCTGATACCCAGAAGAAATATATCACGTCCATTGGTATTTTACAATGGGGGGTAGTAGGTGATTAGGCCACGTCATTCTTCCACAGTTACAAAAAATATTTACCAACATAATCATCACATAAAAACAACTGAGTAAACAATATACAATGTCTACTGATTATGATTTATGTTCACCATAATTTATAGTCAATACTAGAATGTTAACCTTGAATTGAAATGAACCAGAACAAAGGCTTAAAATTAACACTTGAATATAACAGTCACAGAAAGTCAGTTGTTAAAACTATATAACAATTATTTTTGTATTAATAGTATTAAAAATATTGCTCTGAATTTTTATGATGACCCTTTATTATATTATTATAACACTAGTTACCCGCTCGGGCTTGCATGGGTGTACATGTATTATACATATAAACATTCCTCTTGAATCTCTCTATCTATTGGTAAAAACTGCATTAAAATATGTTGCATAGTTTAAGATTTAAGTGAATGGACAACGGTAGCAACTTCATTTTATACTATGCGAATATTATATTATATATTACTATAGGGTTTTAGTGGATGATAATGGAACGGTGCACGCTCTTGTGATGATGGTTTATGCTGGTGGGGCACTAGTGGAGGATAATAAGATAAACATGGTCAAATTGTCAGACCACAGAGACTGTCAAACAAATGCAACAGAATGGATACATTTATTGTCTCATATTTCACTTTCTGAGATTACAGTTATTCCTTTTTTTTTATACAATGACTTAATCCACATGCTTGAACCTAAGTGGTCTCTCTGTGACCTTTTAGGCCCAAGCGTGTGAGGATTAATTTATAGTATAAAAAAAGAAGTGCGGTTTCAGAGGAGCTTCCTCCCGCGTACACTTAGATTGTTTTCTCGAGAGACTAGGAGTTTTTCAAGAAGCGTTTATTATGGTTTCCCTGGCGTTTTTGTCGTACATCGGCTACTCTTATTGTATACCATCAGATGGGCCAATAAGCTTGGTCCCAACGTCTTAGTATTAAAAAAAATTACTCCAATATACATCTACAGAATTCCGATCCCGAACTAAATTAGCTATTCGGACATAAAATTTATGACGCGCGGTCATATTACGGTGTCAATAACCTTTGTGATATCTATTAATAGATTAACTATCTCTATGTATACAATACAAGTTTCCGTCATCTTAAGACAGTAATCTGCGTCCTGTAAATTGATCGCCCACGGTTACCACAGTAGATATGTGGGTTAAGTAAACCAGGGCTCAACGAGATAATTTAATAAAAATGTGCTTTAGAGTTCAAAATACATTGCCCTAAGCCGTAACCAACGTACGTATATTCAAAATTAAAGCGCAGTTTTATTCAATTTAGTTATGAGACCAAATTATTCTAACCAATCGATATTCAACTCTAAATCACATAAATATGCGCGTGAATATACTAGCTACAGCAGCGCACGCAACGGAATCCCTCAAATATGAATAATTTTCCCCTTTTTTCCAACATTTTTCACTGATGCTTTGCTTCTATTGGCCGTGACCTAATGTTATATAGCTTAAAGCCTTTCTCCACAAATGGACTGAATAGTCCACAAACACAACACAAAAGAATTTTTCAATTCGATCCAGTAGTTCCTGAGATTAGCGCGTTCAAACAAACAAACTCTTCAGCTTTATAATATTAGTGTAGTTTAAATTATTATAATTTACTAGCTGGAACGGCGACTTTGTCCGCGTGGATTGGTGAATTTAACTTGAAAATCTGAAATAAAAGTAGCCTAAGTCACTCCTTATAACATTAACTATCTTCGAGTGAACGCCTCGTTAAAATCGGTCCAGCCATTTCAGAGATATGCAAAAACAAACGGACAGACAAAAATTTTTGATATAATACATTGCCCTGGCTAATGTAATTTGAACGTTAAAGTACATTGTAATTATCGGAGACGAAAAGTTCTCGAAAGAATTTTATCAATACGTTCATGTAACAGAGATAACACAGTTAATAATTTTAAATTGAGGTTGAATGAAATTATTGCCTCGTCGCTACAACACCACGTTTTTTCATGTATTATCACTCTGTTCGTTATATATTGTTTATTTTCATATATTTTGTTCTCGAAGTACGTACATATTTTACATTTACATTCTTTATGGGTTAACAAATAATGTTAGGACTGAAAATGTCTGTTTGTATTCCATTCCTAAGCCTACTATTTTTATAATTGCGTAATTAAAAAAATTCAAATAAATTTTATTTTAATTAAATCAAACTACTTAATATATAATAAAATTTCATTTAATATAATAATAAAATTTGTTTAATTAAATCAAACTTAATTCATCAATTAATAAATCATGTGTTTTATGAAAGAATATCTCAGTATTTGTAATAACAATAATGAACGTTAAAATACATCGTAATTCTCGCAGATGAAAAGTTCTCGAAAGAATTTTATCAATGTATTTATTTAATCATGTAACAGAGATAACACTAATAATTTTAAATTGGGGTTGAATGAAATTATTGCCTCGTCGCTACAACATCGTTTTTTCATGTATCACTCCGTTTGTTATATATTGTTTGTTTTGATATGTTTTGTTCTCGAAATACGTACATATATTTTCATATATTATTACCTTTATGGGTTAATAAATAATGTTAAGACTAAAAATAGCTGTTTGTGTTCCATTCCTAAGCCTACTATTTTTTAATTGCGTAATTAAAAAAACTAATTATGACAAAAGTTAGTTTCTAATTATAATAATGAATTAATAAATTGATAGAATCCTTTTGTACACTAGACATATTTAAAGTGACGCCGCGGAATGCTCGAGAAGAAACGTATATGAGATCATGAAAAGAAATAAAACAATATCGCCGTTCTATGCATGACGTTCTATTTTCAAATTGAATAATTTTATTTTTAAAATACATTATAAGGCTATTTGCGATCGCAAACATAATGATGAAGCATTTCTGATGAAGAAAGATATGCCATATTCAGGCATACGAAGTCGCAGAATGAAATTAGTAGTATTGTTAAAACTAAAAAACTAGTGTATTAATATAATATAAATTATTTATAGCTATGACTGAAGTTTTGTGTGTGCTGTGTACACACATATATATTGTTTTCAGTGTAAATAATATAGTTTGTGGCCAATGTTTATTATTGGCAATTATTTAATTTTGTATTTTTAATGCTCAATTCTATACAAAGGGATATTATATGCGTTCATATTAATTATCTGTTTCTTCCTCATTCTAATTATTGGGGTCGGCGTACTATTTTTTTCTCTTCCATTCATCCCTCTTCGCAGTCATCTCGTTATTTACTCCCTTTCTTAGCATATCATATTTTACACAGTCTATCCATCTCTTTTTCGGCCTTCCTCTGCCCTTATAACCACATTCATATGTAACACCGTTCTTAAAATATTATCTTCATTCCTACGCGTTCATATTAATATGCTGATAAAATTATAGCTATATTTGATAACACTAACTGACCTGACCTCATCCTGCTCATCCTATCATCCTCCACTGGTTCCCCGCCAGCGTAAGCCGTTAGCGCAGGCGGCTGCGTCACATTCCGTTATCACGTGACATTTTTACATTAAAACATATAGCAAGCTAATGTGATGAAAATGTAATGAAAAGTGAGAATTATAAATAACTAAGTTTTGTTTTTGTGTCGATCAGAATTTAACTTACGACCTTTTCGAGTAAGTCACGGTAGGAATCCACTAGCCCACAATGCTCATGTTAGAATTGTTTACATTTTAGCGTGATTGTGGACAAGATAGATGTCGACAAAGATGGATTCATAACGCCGGTGGAGTTGAAGGATTGGATCCGTTACACGCAGAAGCGGTACATCGACGAGGACGTGGAGCGCCACTGGCGGCAGCACAACCCTGACAATGAGGAGTTAATCACGTGGGATGTAAGTATTTTATATTTTTTTTCTCAGAGGCAATTTGACCTATGGCCTATGGCCAGTTTGTTACGATTTTTAAATAGTGTTGTGGCGCTATCGGAAATAGAAATGATCTTTACTCAAATAAACTTAACATGAATTAACTAAAGTAAGTTAATTTGAATAGTCCTATTTTTTATTTTACCACTCATTCGGAACGTAGACTCCTCACAAGAAGAATGAACAACAAATTTGCATGTTGCTCTATTAAATAAATGTTCAACAAATTAATTAAAATTGAATGTTGTTGTTGAAATACTCAGAAATATTGTGTGAGTATTTAAAATATTTTAAAATTAAAACAATATAGGTATTAATAAATTGTATCCAAATAGTTTTTTTAATTTGAGATATATTTCACTAAAACAATGACTTTTGTTGACTTGGAAAACACTTTGAATTGGAGAGGATCGAAGGGACAGAATGAAAGTAATTGTATACATATGGTACATTGTATTGGAACTGAGTTATTAAAAAAAAACATTCACGTTACAGGCCTACAGGAAAAATGTGTATGGTTTCATGGATGATATGGATCCAAAGGATTACAAATCACCAGAGAGTGAGGGCTTCACATACTCAGCCTTGTTGAAGAGAGACAGGAGGAGATGGCACTATGCCGGTAGGTTTTATAATTTAAGAACAGCACTCTTGTCGGTGGAGCTCTTGTCCTTTTCCACGATATTCCATCAATCCCTTTAGTTCTTTATACAACTCCAATTTTTTCGTTAATCTGCTTGATATAGCTAAGTTCTATTATATTACTAATAGTATATTCTATTATCTTTTTAATAGTATAAACGCGAAAGTTTGTCAATATGGATGGATGTTTAGTTCGATATACGTTGATCTTGTTTTACTTTAATGGCTAAACAAATGTCCAAAATAATACTATTAATATTTTTGTGTTTTTGTCAGTTGTTTAGTAGTACTTAAAAGTTTACCTTTTAAGTAGTTAACTAATAGTTTTTATTTACAAAGTAATAATAATATTAATTAATAGGAATGATTACAGGAGAAAGTCCACTGCTATAGATAAAGGTGACATGAAAGCAAGACTACATTTTAAATGTTTTACAATTTTCAGATGCTGACCAGAATGAAGCATTGAACAGGACAGAGTTTGCAGCTTTCTTACACCCCGAGGATCACTCCGGAATGAATAACGTCGTTGTTCTTGAAACCCTTGAAGATATTGACAAAGATAAGGTACAATAGTAATATATATATATATATATATATAAACACCTCTTTGGGCACTTTGTTGATCACGCCACAACCTAAACACTTGCTGATTCCACCTTTTGCACTGAATAACTTGACCTCTATCGCGTATATCTCAGGCGGTATGGCAACGTCGCATTCTATTTTGCGATGTGGCCATATATATTCGTCGATAGTACGATATACTCGACACTTTTTTTACTAATAATTCGTGACTGAATGGCTCCGAACGGCTAAATTTTTGGTATACACAAAGACTTTTTGGCTCTAAATATATTCCAAAAATCAATTAATTATGTTGATCACTTTATATACTCGTCCTTACTGCGATACTTATTTTCATCCGAATATATATAGATACCGTAACGGTCTATCAATTATGAATTTATTAATTTACTAATGTAGATATTTTATATTCGCAATGCTCCATACATGCAAGCTCCAGCAACGGTGGAGGCAGGGTCCCCCCTGCACCGTACACCGCACCTCGCGCACACAAACAAATTAGATATTTTTTGAATACACAAAGACTTTTTGGCTCTGTATATATATTTCAAAAATCAATTAATTGTGTTGATCACTTTATATACTGGTCCTTACTGCGATACTTATTTTAATCAGAATATATATAGATACCGTAACGGTCTATCAATTATGAATTTACTAATCTAGATATTTTATATTCGCAATGCTCCATACATGCAAGCTCTAGCAACGGTGGAGGCAGGGGGGAGCACCGTACACCGCACCCCGCGCACACAAACAAATTAGAATAAATTAAATTCATAAGATTATTTATATATTTCGACTGCCTCGGTGGTCACACCGCTTTACATCCGATGGTCACGGGTTCGATTTCTCGCACGGTGCAAACATTTGTACTCATCGGTCATCGATTGTTTTCATCGGTCTGGGTGTTTTATATGTATATTATATATGTATTTACAAAATAAAAATATCTATTTATATCAGTTCAGTATCAGTCTGTGTTAATTGTCCAGGGCTATTTATTATATTTTTATAAACGGTTATCTTTTTCCATCGCACCGCTCGCTATCGACAGTGAATTCATAGAAATGTCACTCTAAAAACAAAAATAGTTTTGTGTTTTGTATTTCAAATACTAAATGCAAAATAGGTATTTTCAAAATACTTTTTCAAAATAAAGTACCTTTTGAATTTTTGTCCAAACCTCAGATATTTTATTTATTTTAGGTATATCAATCATTACATAGTGTAGTATAAAACAAAGTCGCTGTCGCATCTAACAGTACATAAACAAAGAAAGAAGACTTTTTGGCTCTGATACCGTAACGGACTATCAATTATGAATTTATTATACCTAATCTAGATATTTTATATTCGCAATGCTACGTACATTGTAATATGCGCCTCCATTCATTGTAACGGTGGAGGGACTAAATAGTTGAATAAAACTGAATAAGCAGTTGCTCCACTCTATAGGTATGCGTCGTCGTCGTATGCTGTTCATTTTTTCACTCGTTTAGGCGCCAAGAGAGGGTCACATAGTCGTGGTCAAGTTAAGAACTTATAATTTAATTTTAATGACAATAGATACAAGTAAAAAGTAGGTATTATATTAATGTACGTAAGTACTGTACTTAAAAATATTTATTCTTTATTGTACATTTGAAAAACTTAACACTTAAGGACTTGTACATATACACGTACATACTGCCATTTTCTCTTAAAGACATCCAGAGAAGCACTATTTATCAAATACGCGGGGTGCACCGACCTTTGACCTTATAACACCTGATTCGCGCGTAACGAATTACATTGCTACTTACATTACTATTTTATAGTGGATATTTCACTATAAAATATTATTATTTCTTTAGATTATGACATAATAGCATAGTTTACATGATTTTAAGTGAAACATACGATAAAAAAATTCCCGTAAAATGTAAAAGATAAAAAATGGTTATTGTTGGTTATCCTTGAGAGATAGACATATACCATCACGGACTTTTTTGTTGACCTTATTTTGATACATCTCAAAGCACTAGACAATACGCATTTTCATTAAACAGTATTGTATTTTTTTTATTTATTTAACTTTAATGCACAAAAAAATTTGTACATGTGGCGGACTTAATATCTTGCCGCGTTATTTACCAGGCAACCATGAGTGGTGCAGCGAAAGATTATTGGCGGTGCACTAATATAAATAAGAAATGTCAAAAAAAGATATATAAATACAAAGCAAAATATACATTTCTATAAAAAAATAACAATATACATACATAAATATATAACCCATAAATGTATAAATAAACACATAATGATCCGATAATCAAATTATAAGTACAGTCTCAAATTGAAACTAAGAAAAACATATAGAGAGAACTATAGGGATATAACAGAAAGATGTGAAAAAAGGAGAAGGACAGTAAAAAAGTTACAAATTTAAATAATGTTCCCGCAATTTCTGTTTACATGAATTTATTACATTATTATATATATTAGGCATACGACTAGCCTTATGACTGTTACTTTTTTTTTAATCTATACATCTATACATGTAAATAAAATTGGAGTGTCTGTTTGTAATATAGAAATAACCGTTTTTTACTACTTGCATATGAATATAAATACGGTACATACACCAAAATAACATATTTTACAAGTTTTGTCTGTCTGTCTGTCTGTTTGTTCCGGCTAATCTCTGAAATAGCTGGACCGATTTTGACGGGACTTTTTTTGGCAAGTAGCTGATGTAATAAGGAGTAACTTACGCTACTGTTATTTTAGAAAAATAAAATAAATTTTCACGCGGACGAAGTCGCTTTGGCCAGCTAGTCTATAGATATACCGAGATTTAATATTTAAGTTGCTATTATGTTGTTGACAAAATTTTACTGTAATGTTACTATTACGTTATCCTACACAATTTGTATTATTTTGGATGAATAAATAAATAAATAAATAATAATCTATACATCTATACATATAAGTAAAATTGGAGTGTCTGTTTGTAATATTGAAAAAACCGTTTTTTACTATATGCATATGAATACATATAAGGTACATATACCAAAATAACTATTTTTATAATTTTTGTCTGTCTGTCTGTCGGTCTGTTTGTTCCGGCTAATCTCTGAAATGGCTGGACCGATTTTGACGGTACTTTTTTTGGCAGGTAGCTGATTTATAAGGAGTAACTTAGGCTACTTTTATTTTAGAAAAATAAAGTTAAATTCCACGCGGACGAAGTCGCGAGAACAGCTTGTTTTTAATAAAAACGGTTTATTTGATAGAAAAAACATCTTTTTTGTGGTACTTGAGAATGTTGAAGCCTGTTGTTTGTAATATTGAAATAACCGTTTTTTACTACTTGCATATGAATATAAATACGGTACATACACCAAAATAACATATTTTACAAATTTTGTCCGTCTGTCTGTTTGTTCCGGCTAATCTCTGAAATGGCTGGGCCGATTTTGACGGGACTTTTTTTGGCAGGTAGCTGATGTAATAAGGGTACTACCTAGTAACTTAGGCTACTTTTATTTTAGAAAAATAAAGTTAAAAACCACGTGGACGAAGTCGCGGGAACAGCTAGTGTATAATATATTAGAGATACCTACGTGTTTTTTTATTGATGACTAGCTGTACACGGGATTTCGTCCGTGTGGAATTTAACTTTATTTTTCTAAAATATAAGAAGTTAAATTCCACGCGGACGAAGTCGCGTGTACAGCTAGTTGTCGGTAGTCTAGAGATTTAGCTAGCACACTGCTTTGATTCCTGCTTGGTGGTCGAGGGTTCGTTTCCTCGCACGCTGCAAACATTTGTATTCATGAGTAGGATTGTTTGTAACGGTCTGGGTGTTTTCTATGTATAGATAATATATATGTATTTACGAAAAAAATCTTTGTATTTATATCAGTTGTCTAGTACCCATAACATAATCTTCAGCTAGCTTAACTTGGGTCTAGATGTAGCTGTGTGAATTGTCCTGAGATTACTATTATTATTAATTGGTACACAGGTAAACTACTAACTAGGCCATATTGGTGTTGTTTGTTATGGTGAAAAAACTAGTATATATATAAGTTACACGTACAATTTCAAAGACTTATTTCTTCAAAACTACTGGCCATTCTGAAATAAAACTTTAGGGTTTGTATATGTAATGTTTGCATATAAAATATAATTAAAGGTTACCAGTGTATTTACACTTTTACTGAACAAACAGAGTTGTTTAATACTGAAAATATTGTGTGGAAGGCATCAATTACTTTCAGTGCATGTATAGCTTTTCTCTTTTCCTATTTATTATTATTATTAAGTTTAAAGTGGTTGAATTTTACGTAAGGGGTATTTATACATTATTTCTAATTTACCATTTATTTTAAGTTTTTTAAACTCTATTCATCGAGACCTATCTAATGAGTCCAAACACGATATTTCTGCTGTAAGTTTTCGAAGAGTATGTTCATCATCTGATAATACTGGTGCCAGCATGAAGTCAAGGTTAACAGATAACTAATTACTTTTATTTCGTCAAAATCTTTAGATTACGTATAATAAATTCATAATATCGCTACCTATTCAAATCAAAACAAGTATTAGGTACTTCATGTACTAGTATATAAATTCATCAACACACAAGTAAATGATTTTTAAATATATTCAGAGCCAAAAAATCTTTGTGCATTTAAAAAATTTTGCCGATACGGATTCACTATTGCAGGAAATTGTTGAAAAAATATATATCGAGTATCTACTACTATCGACGAATACATTTGGCCACAACGCATGGTCTCGGCCGGAACGGCAACATCGCATATTAGAATACAAAGATAGTGGTAGAACGCGGAACGGCAACATGTTGCCGTTCAGCCACGCTACCGTTATAGTGGTAGAAAGAGAGAGACAGTGGAATCAGCAATATCTACGGATCGTGGCTGGATCAACTAAGTGTGCAAGTTTATATAAATGTATATATATATATA